TGGGGTTTGCACATTAAACATAAAGATTCTATGTTTAATGTTCCATTGGGTCTGGAATCCTTCTTTAACTGGATATTGTGTGATTTTTATTTTTATTTTATGCATGTCCTTTCATAATATCCAAAGTAGATTGAGTGGAAATTAACAATGGAGAAAATAAACATTTACAGACACTCAACATATATCACATTTGACAAACTTTTAAACTTTTACCTATAGCCAAGAGAAACTAAACTCTGACAGAGAAAGGACACATTCTGATGGTAGAACTCATGGGTAAAACACGGAATTAATTTATTAACAAAAACAAAAGGCTGACATGGCAGCAAAACTTACATGGAGCCACGGAGGGAAAGAGGACATGAGCCTTGACAGGACAATGGACCGAACGAGGAACACAAAGTAACAAGGAAATATTAAACACCTGGTGAGGACAGTGAGGGACAGGTGCAGCAGGTGTTGGCAACATGGGAGAGAACAGTACACACAGTTCCTCACACACAACATCAATTAAAGTACTTGAACTTAATTAGGGTGTCACAGTCTCATTTGAGAATAATTAATGTTAACAACAATTTTCAGTCAGGTCATCTGGACAGTTTCTTTTTTTTGTGCTGAAACGTTTCACTTTCCACCCAGAAGGCTTCATCAGTCAAGGAAACACACAACACAAAACTGATTATTCCCCCAACAGCTTACTCCAAAGTAGAACAAACCAGTTATGTTGGTGCTAAGATGGTGTCTTTGGCACGCCCCCTCCTGCAGTGCCGGCCCTCTCCCTCGTCGACAGTCATGTCAAACTGGTTCAAAAACAACAAAGTCCATGCTCAATAATCCAGGTATACAATCCAACAATACATTTAATCTTTCTCTTTTGGGTAGTTCGGTGTTGTCACCGAGAGAATGCAGACTGGTAAGAAGAGATAAAATGAAAGCAAACGGCTCAACGGATTCTTGTTTGATGAAAAACAAGAATCCATCCAGAGGACCAGACTTACCCTTGTTAAAAATTTCTACCTGGATTATCGAGCATGCTTCAGGACAAAAGGCTGACGTGACAGCAACTGCATACAAAAAAAATAATTTATAACATGGAACACAACATAACCAAAACAAGAAATAAACCTAACAATAAACCCAAAACTACTGAGCAAATAAGTGATCAATGACAAAACATGTGAACACAATGTTGATTTTTTTTTTTTTTAATATATATTTTTTTTACAAGTGTCACACATTTGAAAACATTCGTGCAAAAATATTTCAGTCTGGTTTGGAACAATAAAAACACAGTCATGACAAAAACTGAAAATGGATCTTATGGTGATTGTGGAAATTTATTATTATTATTATTATAAATTTCCCACAGACAGAGCTGAAACTGAACGAACCACTATGGCGTGACTGACACATATTTTTCAGGCATTGTTCTGTAGAGCAGTGGTTCCCAACCTTTATTGCATCACAGACCGGTTTGATGTCAGACAATATTTTCACAGGGCGTGGTCTGGGGGTCCTCCCCAAAAGAATTTTGAATAAAGTAGATGCCATTTCCTGCATTCTGGTGTATTTTACAAACATTTAAAACATTATTAGCTTCAAATACTCTGACTGCACGACAAACAGCTTCATGAGCTGAGATCATCGTCTGTGTTATCAGTTCGGTGAAAGTTCAGATAACTCCTGCAGTGATTCACACATCAGATTGTTCACAAAAGCACAGGAACTTATGCCTAGTGCAAAACGTTTAATTATATTTTTTGTGTTTTATAATAAAATTACCCATGACTTTGAAATTTTAGGGGCAGAGACTTTTTTGAGCAGAAGCAAAAATGTGAAGCGACAGCTCTGATGTGATATTAGGAAGCTTGTTAAAATTATAGTTTTATTTAGTTATAGTTTTATAGTCAATCTTTGTCAGGCGGGTTGAAAAATATGCAGTGTAATCCTTCAAAATGCACAGATACGGCTGCGCACCTCCACCTGTCTGCTCCAGACCACGTAGCTGAATTGCTTTGTTATTCACCAGCAATGTAGAACTGATCTGTGCATGCACCAAGAAGGGGTTCTCTGCAGACCAAAAGTGGGCGTTTCTGGAGAATAAGCGTTTGTAGAGGGCAAACACTGATTGGCTAGCTGTATTTGCTGGCTCTTTAGGTAAGTTATGTCAGCTCTTTTTTTAAACTGATGGTTTCCAAGAAACAGCGTTATATCTACTGTCAAACACAAGCATCTTCTCTTTTATTCTTGGTTGTAGGCTGCACCTGACACAGGTTGACTTGAGTGTGGTCTGGGTACAATGAAATATGAAGCATCTGAAGCAAAACCTGCTCCCATTTGTCAAAAAGTCTGGTTTCAATTAAAGATCATGAGTCCTGTAATGAGATAAAGGCCCAAAACAAAAGCTAAAAACAAATGTGCTCTATAGAAGTTCTTCTATGATCTGATCTATGAAAGGAGCTGAAACATGGAGTAGGATTGACCCTTAAAATGTGAGACAACTGAGGAAGTTAACAAGTAAACAGATATACCTGCTCCAGTTGCAGAAATCTTACAGAAACTGACAGTCACTCATCTGCAGTGACTGATTGAAAAGGTTGAACAAGAAAATGTGACGTTAAAGGAAACATCCTTTGTCCTAAAGCCAGTTTAAGTATCATTATTATTTTGGTTACTTTATTTTTCTTTCTTTATAAATCAATTGTAAATATTTTCACATTATTCACATTATCAGTGGAGAGCATCCTGTGCTCCAGCATCAACGTGTGGCATGGAGCCTGCACAGCTGCAGAAAGAAAAGCTTTGCAGAGAGTGGTGAAGGCTGCACAGGAATCTGTCGGAGTCAGTCTCTCCACCATCACAGACATCTACACCTCTAGATGCAGGAAGAGAGCCACCTGCATCATGAAGGACCCCACTCACCCAGCACACACACCTTTTGCTGCATCATGAAGGACCCCACTCACCCAGCACACACACATTTTGCTGCATCATGAAGGACCCCACTCACCCAGCACACACACCTTTTGCTGCATCATGAAGGACCCCACTCACCCAGCACACACACCTTTTGCCCCACTCCCCTCAGGAAGGAGGTTGAGGAGCATTAAGTGTAGAACCATTAACTTCTACCCTGAGGCTGTTAGACTCATGAATCTCTAACAAGGATAATCACTGTGAAAAAAATCACATCATGTTGCTGCTGATCTGTTTCATGTTGCTGCTGATCTGTTTCAATGTTGATGTGTTCATGCGTGCTCATCTGCTCACACAGACTCATGTTCATGTTTGTGCTAACTTTCAACGTAATGTTTTTATGAGTGCTTAGTATATATTTAGTTGATGTTTTTCTTAGTTCATATCTTAGATGTTATTACTGTTTTTCTTTTACATTTTATTGTTGAATGTAACTGGGACCCTGTGTACTTAATTTCGCTCCACCACATGTACCACATGAGGTGCGAATGACAATAAAGAAACTCTGACTCTGACTCTGATTATTCAACAACCAAAATGGATTTAGTTTTTTAATGTAATGGCTAGGTTTTAAATAACAAAAATTTAGTCCTCCCCACTACCCATTTATGTTGCTCTTATTTTGAAATGCAACCGGAATTTCTGTGTTAAGAGAGACGGAAAGAGAAGTTATGGAGACGCCGCTAATGTCGAACCGAGACGCCGTCAATGTTGAACCTGAGATGCCGCAAATGTCGAACCGGTTAACACCATAGACATAATATGTCTGTGGTTAACACAAACGGCTTTTTTTTTTTTTTGTTCAGCTTTTCTTTTTTTTTTGTCCAATCAGATTTGGCCCTCCATATACGCCCTTTTTTAAATCGTCCAATCAAATGTGGCCCTCCAGATAATGATAATGATGGACAGATGTTAATAATGATGGACAGAAGAGGTTTAAAGA